CTACAACTACCACAATTCTTACTACTACGACTACTACTGCTACGACGCCGACTACTACTACTATTACTACTACTACTACTACTACTACTACTACTACTACTACTACTACTACTACTACTACGACTACGACTACTACTGCTACGACTCCATATACTACTTCGACTACTACTACTACAATTTCTACTACGATTACGTTTATAGTTGCTACGACTACTACTACTACTACCACCACCACTACTACTACTACTACTACTACTACTACTACTACTACGATTACGAATACGACTACTACAACTACAACTGCTACTACTACTACTACTACTACTACTACTACTACTACTACTACTGCGACTACACCTACAGCAACTACCACCACTTCGACAATTACTACTAACACTACTACCACTAATACTACTACGACTACGACTACGACTACGACTACGACTACGACTACGACTACGACTACGACTACGACTACGACTACTACTGCTACTGCTACTACTACTACTACTACTGCTGCTACTTCGAATGCCCATACTCTTACAAGCTCCTCCTACTCTTCTCACGTCTTTTTCTCCTCGTCCACAATTACTCAATATTAAGACGTCTCTCCTCTCTCCTCCGAAGTCGCGCTGAGAGTGGCGCGCTCCCCTCCGCGCCACTCCCCCTTCTCCGCCTCATCCTCCTGCTCCTCCTTTCCCTTCTCCTCCTCCTCCTCCTCCTCCCTCCCTCCCTCCCTCCCTCCTTTCCTCTCTCCTCCCACCCTCCCTCTCCCTTTCTTCTCGGACCGCCTCCCCCATCCCTCCTCCATCTCCTCTCAGGCCCCTCCTCCTGCGCGCTCGCAGGAGCGCCCGCACGCTCGCAAGGGGATGGGCCAGAGCAGCAGAGGGCGCAAAAAAGAACGATCAAGATTGCGCGGCCAAGAAGCGCCAGCTGGACACATCCACTGCAAAATGCCACGGCGGCTCTTCCATCTCACGCCCGGGACTGTTGTGCGTTAGCCATCAGGTCACCACTGCACAAAAGCCACACGCACACAGCCAGACCTGCCCAATTTATCGAATATGACAGTCAACGCTCGAAACCAACATGTTTCCCAGCGTGGACCGTATATTTGGATACTGTGTCCTATCGGGCCCGTCGCGACACCATTCGAGCACAGACCAAATGCCAAGTTGTGGCGGTACACGTAAATTCCTCGGGGCGTGTATAATCCCAACTGTAACTCATCAAAAATTGGTGGCATTCCCATTTTTACACCAGCGAATGAGAACCTCCACCGCGGGTAATATGCATCCCAGAGTAGTTGAGCACTTTTGCACTCAACACGGATATTGTCGCGATGCCAATCATATTCTGCTTGATGGGAAGCCCGGCGGTATACATCACTGGTGCTGAGATCTACGTGCGGAGGGTTGATCTGAGCACCTGGGTGCAAAATTTCGTCAACGCGCCGAGCAAGAGCTTCAATTGTTTTCCCCCGTTGAGTTGAGCTGAGGTCTGCCAGAGGAACGCCGCTATAAACATGCCGTGTCACACAATCCCGACGGTTCAATACAGTTGATACGCGAGGGTCTGCGATGGGCATTGCCAGCAATCGACAACAGCCATTAGTCGAAGCATCGAGCTTACTCAACACAATGTCCAATGCATCAGACCAGTCCTCCACGCCGCGCTGGCTGAGGAGGAAGATCTGGTGGCCCTGGGTCTCGGTGCGCTTTCCTTGAGCGGACATCTGAAATTGGCCGTCGTGCCGGTAGAAGTACAACATCCTTGGGGTGTACAATACCAGAATCAATTCATCGAACGCGGCATCTTTGCGTACACCTGCGCAAGCAATCTTTACATTACTGAACTGGAAACCCCAAGTCTTGGTTGAATGCTTCCACATCATCATTGCGCTTTTACACTCTATACGCGATTCGCGTCGCAACCAGTCATAGCCAGCCCGGTGTATTCCACGGCGTGTACCATTACTACAATGACCAGGCTTTGGGTCCGCGATGTTCGAGATCCCATGAATGTCACAATCGAGTAACCGAGCTAAGTCTGCAAGGACATGACCACGCGCACTTTGCGACAATGCAAACAATGCCGAACCTTGAAACGCGGCCGCCGTGACAGCAACACTCGCTGAACCCCCAGATAGTATATCCTCAAAATCGGACGCTTTCAGACTAACAGAACGAATTCGCAGCTGAAAGCCACACTGCAGCAAACACGCTCGGCCAACGATCACACGTGCCATTTACGAGGTCAAATCTTCCAACGGGACAAGCGCAGAGATGTGTACGCAGTATGCGATGCACTCAAAATCCTGGAGGGGTTGGGGGCTCGATCGCCGTGCAGAGGTCGGAGCTGCAAAATGAACGTCCAATTGTATCATGCAGCATGGTTGCCAACCAGCAGAAATTCGCACGATTAGCCGAAGACTCGAGCCAGAACGTCGACGAGCACCAACTGGCCGACTCCAGAAACCCTGAACCCAAAAATGTTGTCATCTCTTGGGGGCATTCTTTTACTCCCGCTGCCTTCCGGCGGCCTTCCGCTGGCTTCCGCCGGCAGAGGCGGCCTCGTCTTCCGTCCGCCGCCTTCCGCTGGCCTTCCGCCGCCATCCGCCGAGGAAGGGATGACAACTCCTTCGATCCTCGAAGGCAAGGCCCTATTTGGAATGTCCCAGGTGGCACAAAGGCTGAAATTCGGCTGCACGCAAGAGCGACCCTGGGTAAGACTGACCTTTGGTGCGCGGCTTCCTTTGGGGCCGCGGGGGGGCCAAACACACGCGCACAAGCCGCTGCTGCCTCTTCGCTTTCAGCCACCTGGGGACCCATCTGTGCTCGCACCAAAGGTCACTCCGGCGAAAGGTCACTCTCACGTCGAATGCACTCATGCCTCCCCCCTACTCCTCCTCCTCCTCCTCCTCCTCCTCCTCCTCCTCCTCCTCCTCCTCCTCCTCCTCCTCCTCCTCCCTCCTCCTCCTCTCCTCCTCCTCCTCCTCCTCCCTCCTCCTCCTCCGCCTCCTCCTCCTCCTCCTCCTCCTCCTGCTCCTCCTCCTCCTCCTCCTCCTCCCGCTCCTCCTCCTCCTCCTCATCCTGCTCCTCCTCCTCTTCCTCCTCCTCCTCCTCACTCTCCTCCTCCTCCTCCTCCTCTCCTCCTCCTCCTCCTCCTCCTCCCGCCTCCTTCTCCTCCTCCTCTTCCTCCTCCTCCTCCTCCTCTCCCTCCTCCTCCTCCTCCTCGTCCTCCTCCTCCTCCTCCTCCTCCTCCTCCTCCTCCTCCTCCTCTCTCTTGAGAAATGTCGATGCACGGCGAATGTGCGCGGCGAACGGGACGGGCAGAAAGGGGCGGGCAGGCAGGGCGCGGCGCACTCTTGGGCGCCCGAAGCATCCTGGGTAGCTCGGGCCCGGGGTAACTTGGATTCCCGAAAAACGAACCCGAGTTAGCCCTGACCCGAGTTACCCCTGACGATTCGGAGCTCTGACACTCGGTGTCCAGAGCCTGGCATAGGCCTGGCTCTCCCGGACGCCCGCCTGGCCGGTGTGCGCGGCCTGGGCCAGGGCCCGCGATGGGAACCTCAAGGATCCCGCTGGCACTTGTCAGGAACTCACGCTCGCGACGGGATTGGCGAACAAACCTAGGATCCAGGCGTTGCAATTTTGTTCACAACCGGCGTTTTCGCTCAACTTCGGGCCCCGAGACCCTCACAGATCTATCCGGCTTCAAAAATGACGCAGAAAGATGGGGTCTAGGGCTCCGGGCGTGATTTTCCACGATGCTGCAATTTGTTCGCTACGTCGGATCTCAGGAAAGGGGATGCACGCACCCTGGAAGGGTCTTCGAACGACCCGCTCCTCAAATAGAAACAAGTCCAGTTAAACGATAGATGTCTCACGTCGAAGTCTGTGGGGGCATGAAGGCTGAACACGTCGGGCTAGGGCCTGCGCTCGCAAAGTGCAGTGTCACGCGAAGTGCAGTGTCGTGCGAAAAGGCCACGGCTACGCCTGATCCTACACAAAACGACAACGGATCACGGAGATGCAGCAGAGCCAGGGCCCCGCTTCCACGTGGACGGCCCTGGGAACCCTGGTTGCACTGGGGCGCTGGCAGATCTCTTCGGGGATATGCAATTCTACTCTCGCCGGGCTTGGCAGAGCTGCCCTTGCTCGCAGGGCTCCGTCGAGGGCGAGACGCCAGCCCTCTGACTCCTCGATGACAAGGCCTCCTCTGGAGCTGGCCCTGTCTGGCCGACCGCTTCGCTGATCACTGGAGCCAAGCGCGGGGACAACTACTGGGGGCGGCGCGAAGAAACCAGGCAGGCCACAGCTGGTGAGTTTCGTGGGGGCGGCTGGTGGGTCCTTCCTCCTGCTAGGAGTCTCAGAAGTGCACACCCTCACCTCGAAAGCAGCGGCTCCGTGCAGCCGGGCCGAACGGAACCTTGGTCACCTTTGCAACTTCGTGCCTGGCACGCGTACAGCCATGCCCCGCATCGAGTCCTCCGGCTCCTCCTCCTCCCTCCTTCCCTCCTTGCCTCCCCCACCCCCTCCTTCTCCCTCCTCCAATTCACTGTTCTGAAAGATGTGTATCCTCCTTGTCGCACCCCCCAGACGTGATGGTAGGGCGGACTGGTCGTTTCGCTTGAAATTTCCCCACGATCAGCGACCCTGAAGCATAACAGTCGCAACAACTAGAAGGATGTAGGGTGAGCCGTTGTCAAAATGGTCGCATTGCTCATTCGTCTACAGCAGTTGCAACATTTACAGGGACGGAAAGGTGGTGCTCAACATGGGGATGTCGTTTTAGCGCCGCGCGCATTCGCCTCGTCTTGCAAAAGCTACAAAGGACGGGGGCGTTTTCAAAATGGAGCTACCGTCTTCGCGCCATGTTTATTCGTCATAAAAACTTTGTAACACTTGCGTACAAACATGGGGAGCTGCTCCCCTTAAAACGGAGTTCTTTCCTTAGCTCAGCGCACACTCGTCTTACAAGTTTGCAACACTTGCAAGAATATCTAGGACAGCTCCTCTTCAAAATGTAGATATCGCTTGAAAGTAAATGAGCATGCGAATGCAAAGCATTTCAACATACGTAGCAGCTGCACGGTGCGTGCGGCCCTTTTCTCTGGAGGCTATCGCTGGAGCCCTCCGTCAAAAAATCATGGCCAAACCTTTGGGTGTGTCCTACAATCACAAGGATGGGAGGCGGTCGCTCTTCGAGAAGATCGTCCCTACGCCTGGTTGCACGGTTTCCCCCGGGGCCGTAGGCGACCCGAGGAGGAGGATGAGAAGGAGGTAGAGGGGGAGGGGGAGAAGAAGGAGGAGGAGGAGGAGAAGGAGGAGGACGAGGAGGAAGAGGAGGAGGAGGAGGAGGAGGAGGAGGAGGAGGAGGAGAAGAAGCAGGAAAAGGAGACGGAGGGAGGACGAGGAGAAGGAGGAGGAACGGAACGGAAGTGCCCGCGGACGGGGGAGTGCACAGCACTAAATATGCAAGCGAATGTACTGGCACAAACTTAACTGGGATATAACCTACACCACAGGCGAGGCCCAAAACTATCCCTTGGATTGGGCCTCTCTCGCCAACTCCTTGACACGAATTCGTTCTAACAGCGCAGCCATTCGTTGCTCATAGAGAGGGGCGGCATCAGCACTGGAGAATGAAGCCCTCACCACGGTGGGGGCGTCCTGACACGGAGGGTCGGCGGAGAGGCGTAGCCTCTGGAACGGAACCGCACGATCAACAAAGGCCCGAACACGCGGGTTCGGGCAATGACCCTTTCGATACCCAGCCAAGACGTCCAACCCTTTACGCGTGGGGGCCTCGCAACTCCGACTGAGCTTTATCCCCCCCCCCCCCCTGGGACCACCCCCCACAACGAAGGCACAAGACCTGCTCCTTGGACGCATCACGACGCGACACCGAACCATCACCAGTTTGCCGAGACAGCGTCCCCGACATGGCGACGAGAGTGTGTCCCATGGGATCATGGAGCAGCTTCTTGAAGAAAGATGGCAGCCCCGAACATTCGTCCATGGGCGCTTCATTCACTGGGCAACTGAGCACACGAAAACAAAGAGTACATTGAGTGCCTAGTGGTCCGTGCTCCCACTTATGCCACGACACCTTTCGCCGTGACCGCCCAGAGAAAATTCGACGAGGCCTTGCCCGCCGAACTTCATTTGCACAAAGAGGCAGCACCGTAATTGCAAGCTTCATGAAATGCCCTGCCCTTTCGCCAGCTAGGCCCAGCTCTTGTGAAAAGGCTGGCGAGGGGCTGGGACGCAGACTGAGCCCGTCCTTGGCATAGCGATCCGCCGCCGCATTGGCTACGGCCAAAAACCGCTCAACCCTTTCTAGGGCTTCTATCTGCTTTCTCTCTCACGATGGGCCTTTACATGACGGGTAGTGTGAATCATAGCGGTACCCTCGAGCTGCTGCGCAAAACCACGAATACCAGCGAACTTGGTTGACAGCGCAAGCTGGGCATGCACGTCCTTCTGAGCTAGGCGCATGGCCGCCATGCAATCAGCACCGAGCTCCGCTGGTCGCGTAGCTATCTGCCCACAAATCGCGATCGCTACGTGCTCAGCCATGGCTGGTGTTTGCGGCAAGGGCCCCGGGACGACGCCTTCGACGATCGCTACGGGATCCTCGCCAGCATCAGGACACACAGCCACAGCCCAGGCAACGCGCTGCAGTGGCCGAATCAGTGGTCTGCTGCTGGACACGTCCGAACCCAACCACAACGGCGCTGAACTGGTCAAACTCGCTATATCTTCAGGCTGCATGTCCAGTGCGTCGCCCTCCCTGCCATACAGGTAAACCTCGGGCGAAACCAAGGGGCAGGGCAACTCACTGTCGGCATAAACATGAACACCGCTCGTGCAAATTGGTAAATCAGGGTTGTCGCGAGCAGCATTGAGGAATGCGCCAGGCACCTCAGAAGCTTCGCGCGCTTCTGCTACACGAGGGAGCTGGCAACTAGATAATATGTGGTGGACTGTGTCAGGTTGACCGCACTCACACAACCCGTCACACACGTACCCAGCATGCATCGCCCTATCGTTCGCCCACAGTCCACCACATCCGCATGTTTGTATTACATACTTCTGGTATCGCGTATATATCCTGGCCTTCGGTGCTACCGTATCCCTGATGAGATTAAGGGTCGCACGAGAGCCTTCAGGAAAGCCTAGGTGCCTCGCCAGGTCTAACTCACGCTGACGCTGCAAACCTTGCTCCACCATGTCCATAAGGAGGGGCGGAGGGTGGTCTCTAATTCGACCTCCAGGCCGTTGTGGTCAAACCGCTTCAAGGGGCCATCCGCTCGCCACCCAGCCCTCTCAAGACATAATGCTGCTCGAGCTAGCGGGCCCCGGGATCTATTCCACGATTCACACTCGACAGGCTTGGATAGATCCCAAAGCTTGAGAAGCTCAGCTCGCGAAACTAAAGATAGTGCAGGGCGCCGCGAAGCGGTCCAGACCATTCGACACCATTGGATCGCTG